AGAATTACTGCAGAAGTGTACAGTTATTTTGAAAATACTTTTTGCAAGTGCCCACAGATTGGACTTTTAATTTAAAAAAACTAATTATCTATTAACCAACTTTTTTTGTCTGTTGCAAATGACAGATTTCTAGAAAAGTTGTATTCCTGCTAAATTTGTATCTTCACTGCTGCTTCCTGCCCCTTTGGTACCTTACTTCCTTCACATTGTCTTCCAAAAGTGCCTTTTTTGACTCACTTGATTCTTACACATTTCTCATCAGTAAAAGTATCAGACATATAGAGAAAGAAAACAGGCATGGGAAATAGGTTTGCAAACTCAGGAAAATATCACTGCACTGGTTTACACTTTGATGTTATGCTCAGAACCATAGAAGCAAGGACATTTGCCTGGGTTTTTTTCCTCGTGTAGTCTAAAATACTGAAAAACTTGTTAGGTCAGCTCCAGAGTGCTGAAATGTGCCAGTATGTGAAAAGAATTCCACCACCCAGGATATGCAAAACTGTCACACACCCCCAAAAGCATCCTCAGCCCTTTGAAGCCACACCAACACCACAGGAATAAAGCATGCTGGTAATGTGTCATATTTTAATCTACATGCCATAAGGCATATTAGATTGGAAAATAAATCACAGGCACTGAGACTACTTATTACTATAAATCAAAAGTAAATTCTGCTGTTCTTTGTATGAAAATACAACAATGTAAGGGTGTTCCAGAAAAGAATGTCAGGGCTAGGACTTATTCACAAAGCTCCACTGGAGATAAAAGGATCATTAAATAATTAAGTGATCTCAGTTGATTTAACATGGTTCAAGTTAGTCCTGTCTTCTGACAGGGATGCAGTTCTGACTAAGAAGAGGAAAAAAAAGAAATTAGGAAAATCCTCATAACCAGATGCTATATCCAGAAAAAGACTGATTTGGAATATATTTGTATAAATAGAAAAAAAAAGTGTTTCTGCTAAAAAAGCCACCTTTTAGGTTAGAATTTATTAAACCATACTGTATTTAAACTTTTTCAGGCATGTTCAAAGCCAGTGCTGTAAGCTCAAAGATTGTATCTGCAGCACTGAGTGATATCTACAAGACAATGGGAGCAAAAGAAAGTTCCAGAGCACTGTGTTTGCCCAGCCCAGGAAAAGTTCACCTGTAAGTATCTAAGTAACCCTCTGCAGGACCAACCACATGTGCAGAGTATAGTAATGCAGCTTTAATACAGACGGGAATATTTGATGATTAATTATTTATAAATGCAACTTAATTATTTGCTGAGACATCAACAGGGAAAATGAGTTCTCATTCTTTATATTCCACCTCTAGTGCAAATTTTGCCTGTTTCTTCAGATTAAATTAAATTCTAACCATCTCTGTTGACTGTGACAGACTGATCTTAATAAAGGTGTTGATCTGCAAGTCCAGGGTTATGCTGCAAAGTGACAGACCTATCACTGGTCATTTACCAGCACAACAGATACCTGGCAGGAGCAGCACAACCAAGAATTCAAAGGCACACAGGGGTTACTGCAAGTAATACTTGTTTCTGTAAATGTCAAACCCTACTTAAGAATTCTTTTATCTCACCTTATCTTCTCTTTAAAAGAAAAGGAAGTGTGCAATCAAGTGATAAAATAATGTGTTCCCATGTTTAACGATAGTGATAAAACAAACTTACAGTCTGGTTTTAGACATCTGGTTGCTCATGAGAAATTTTGATAAATGTGAAAATAAACCAGTGTAAGTTGTAGCACACCCTCTTTCCCAAACTCCTTTGTGCAAGAGATTAAGTAGATGTAAAATCAGAACCCTGAACGAGAAACACAGGAACATGCTGTTCTTTTTTCCATTCTTTTTAACCATGCTTTTGAGACATTTATTTAGCATTACAAATACCATTCCTACATTTACCTATCAACATTTGAAATGCATATTGCAGTATATGCTTTTCCCTGGCTGGAAAATACTTGGAACACTCACAAAATTAGTAAAAGTCTGTGACAAGAAAGAAGGGCTGAGAGCAGATGTCTGTATCAGATTAAGTTTCCAAGAAAGGGCAGAATAGATTTTGTAGAGTTTCAAAGAAAAACCTGTAAGTGCAGCAACACATCACCTTGCAGAACTAACTCCGAACCTGTGTGTGCTATCCTGATGAAAACCTCCTAAGCACCATCTATGAGGGAAGCATTAGGAGAATTATACAGTCAGAAAGCTCAAAATATTCCTGATACACGTCTAAGACATAAAAATTGAGTGGTTTCAACAGTTCTAAGCATGTCCTTTATACTTTCCTAGCACCATGAAAAATACCACTTATATATTAACATACTCCAGTTACTTACAGAATGAGGAAAATCAATAGGTGTTTCTAATGGACAGCATTCTTTAGATCCAAGATCATCAAAGTGTAAGTTCAGCCCAAGCATTACAAATCAAGGTGAAGGGCCTTCCCTCAGACAAACGTGCAACGTTCAGAAAGGAGCAACAGGTCTGTTGATAGTCACATACAAGATCTGAGTCCTGGCTAGGCAGATGTAACATCATTACAGTGCTTTCGTAACGACTGACCATTTTTACAACCTTTCAAAGATGTAAAGCAGGCATGCAATCCCTTCTCCGCTGCAGAAGGGGCGCAGGTCCGAGGCGGTGGGAGCCCGCAGCAGCGGCAGCGCGGGGGGCCCGGGCGGGGCTGCTGCCGGCGCCCCGCGGGGAAGCACCTGAGGGGCGGCCCAAAGGCCGAGCTGCGGACGTCCCACACCGATCTCCCGAGCGAGACCCCTTTGCCAACGCCCGGCTCGCTGCTCCGGAGCCGCGGGGCGCCGGCACCCCGACCTGCCCGCCCGAAACACCGTCCCGGGGCTCTGGCCAAGCCCTCTGCCAGCCCAGCCGAGCCCAGCCGCCTGCGCTCACCGCCCTGCTCGCCTCCCGGCCGCCGGAGCTCCCGCAGCCGCGTCACGCCGCACCTGCCTTTTTTTTTTTTTTTTTTTTCTGGGGCTCCGACCGTGTCTTTTCCGTCAAGGCAACATCACTTCCCGTGCAGCCCGAGGTGGGGGCGGGCCGGGCGGCACCGCCCCGGCGTGTCCCGGCCCCGCCGCGGCCACCTGGGCGGGCTGAGCGCGGCCCGAGCGCAGCCCCGCGGCATCGGCCGGGCTGCGCTTCAGCCCTTCCTCCCCTCCTCACCTCCCCCGAAGATCTCGCGCCGTTTAGTAAGAATTCGTGAGAGGCAAAACAGGCTTTGCAGCGAAAAACCGCGGCGCCTGCTTAATGCACAGCACTGTGGGTTTAATGAGCTCTTCCTGCCGCCTGCTGGCCGCCTGCCTTCCCCCGAAAGGGAAGCGTGCTCCATACTCTCAGCAGCTTCCCAGTAAACGCTTTAAATCCAGCAGCCTCAAGAATTCAGCAAGCAGAGTCTTAAGCTCAGTTGCATCAATAACACCTGCATCAGTTCAGACATCCTCTTTTCTTGAGGCTTTTCAAATTCAACTGCAATCTTTATGGACAATTCCAGTCATTATATTTACAAAGGAAGTGCCTCCTAGACCTGACCTACACCTCTTCAAAATAACCTTTTCAATATTTAGTGGTACTGTAAAGGAAGCTGCTGGAGTCACTGCAGTAATGCAGAAATTTGTGGTAATTTGTAGCATTTCCTCATAGAATCAGGAAATGGTTTGGGTGGGAAGGGGCCTTAAAGACCATCTAGTTCCAGCCCCCTGCCATGGCCAGGGACACCTTCCACTAGACCAGGCTGCTCAAAGCCCTGTCCAGCCTGGCCTTGGAGACTTCGAGGGATGGGTCAGCCACAGCTTCTCTGAGCAACCTCTCACTCTAAAAAATTTCTTCCCAAAATCTAATCCTGCCCTCTTTCAGTTTAAAGCCACTGCCCATGTAATGTCATGTCCAAACTGCATTTACTGCTCTAAGCTGCACCTCCCAGTCCACCTTCTACTGCTATCCTCCCATCTCAGCTTCTATACCTCTGCCTCCAGATACAACATTGTTCCTGGCTTAAAATATAAAGACACACAGACAACTGGTTTCTTCCCCCATTCTGTCCAAACAAGATTCTGTGTTTAAACTAAAACCTGTCTTAACTTTGTCCCAAGATCTCCTGGGTTTGGTTTCTTTTTAGATGTATCGTGACATATCTACTGATTTGGTTTCCTCAAGTCTCAGATTCTGTACTGTCAGACTAATACACACCTACTCCAAGAGCCATGCTTCCTTCCTGAGCTACACACTGAGGCTCTTCTCAAGGACAACCCATTTTCCAGGCAGATTTATGTATTCAGTATCTACTGTACCTCACTCTGTCAGGAATGAAATCTGTGTGTAAGCACATGTGGTACGTGTGTTTCTGTACATATGGCCAGGTCTGATTATAAGCTAATACTGAAGTTGGGTGCAGTTCCCTTCTCAGCCATTTGCACAACTGCTTTCACAACTGAGCTGCCGTATTAAGAATTGACACCACGAGAAGCAGAGACAAATGGTATTTATCACTTGGAGGATCAAATCAGAGGCAATCCAACAAAACCCACGAAGCGTAACTACACAGCAGCAGCTTTCTTTTTCGAGCTTCCTGATGTTGTTTAAATTCAGAAGTGAAACAGCCCTTCAGTCAGTCAGAATATCATTCATGATTCAACATTCACGTCCCGAAGTCTGGTTCCAAACACGCAGCCACGCAGCTGCAGCAGGCGGGCGGCTCGGGCGGGACGGCCCCGGCAGGTGACGGTGGCGCCGGCTGCGAGCGGCTCCATTGCCGCCGACGGACGGGGCGTGCGAGGGCCGGCGGCGAGGCGGTGCCCGGGCGCGGCGGTGCCCGGGCGCGGCGCCGCACGCCTCCCTCAGGGCCTCTTCTCGGGCGCGGCGTCCGGCGGCGGCGCGGCGGGGCCGTGCGGGGCGGCGGGCGGCTGGAAGAGCGGCCCGTAGATGTAGAGCCCGCTGGCCACGCCGAGCGCCACGGCCACGGCCACGTGCTGCAGCGGCAGCCGGCCCCGCATGCCGGCGGGCGGCGCTGCCACGCCCACGGACACGCGTGGGGCGGGCGCGCACTGCGACGCGGCCCCGGCTCGGCTCCGGCCCGCGGCCCCGGCGCCCTCACCTGCACGCGGGACGCGGCACAGCCCCGGCCTCGCCCGGCTGCGGGCACCGGACGGAAGTACCGGCGCTGTCCCGCCTCCCGCGGTCGCGCATGCCCCGGCGGGGCAGGCGGCCGGGGAGCTGCGGGCGGATGCCGGAGGCGGTGCGGCTCCGCAAGCGGCGGTCGGTGCTGTACAGCTCGGCCGGCGGGGCCGCCGCGCAGCGAGGCGCCGGTAAGCGGGGCCGGGCCGGGAAGGGAAGGGCAGGGCGGGAAGGGGGGCGGCCCCCGAGGGCCCGTGATGGACCAGCCTCGCCCCCGCAGGTGCAGCCGCGCCCGCCCCGCTGCTGGCGCTCGCCCTGGCGCTGCGGACGCTCAATTGCTTCCTCGTGCAGACCAGCTTCGTGCCGGACGAGTACTGGCAGTCGCTGGAAGTGGCTCATCGCATGGTCTTCAAATATCCTTCGCCTGGCGCGGCCCCCGCGCCCTCTCATCGCTCCCCACCCCGCGGTGCCGTGGGCGGGGTGCTCGGGGACGGCTCTGCCCGCTCGGACACGGCTTTCCCCGGCAGTAAGGAGTTGGCTTGGCAGCAACAAACACCCACTGCTCTGGCCCAAGGGGACAGAAGGTCTCCACCCGGATGGCTCGGGTGAAACTTTGCCTTGCAGTTGGTCATGATCTGTCCTTAATATTCATAATTATGGTTACCTGACTTGGGAATGGACAAGTAGCTTAAGGGGCTACTCGTACCCACTGATCTTTGCAAGCATGTACAAAGCATTACAGCTGCTGGCTAAGGATAATGTCCAGCTGCTGGTGAGTATAATAAAAAATGTGCATCTGCTACTAAAATTCAATTTTAAAATATTGTATTTAAACACAGTGGTTTTTTATCATTGTCCAAGTAAAATGCAAAGCCTTGAGTTTGGCAATTAGAGATGTGTGAGCACGGAGACCCCACTGACTTCCCACGGGGGCAGAACTCATTCATAGATTTCCAGTCACAACAGTGATGCCTGTAAGTGCAGAGGATTATCCTTGGTCTCCATCAATCTCTTGACTTTTCATACTGATTGTGTTTGCCACTACGTCATATTGCATGGTAGTTCAGTTTCCCAAAGTGTTTAGCAATGTATATTTGCACTCAACCCACAAGAACTAACTAACTAACAACAGCCCCTTTTGATTTCTATTTGAGATGTAAAGCAGATAATTCTACTTTCCATCTCTGAACACTTTCAATGAAGTTCAGACATTCTCTGTTTTGGCAGAAATACTATCCTTACCCAAGGCCCTTACTACTTAATTTTTAAAATGATAAGTTATAGAGAATATTCACCAATTCACTATTTTCATACTTGAACAGTCATTCACTAATTCAGTCCTCTCTTAAAATTTGGAATTTACCTTGTTTTGTTGCAAGTACAATTTTCTCTCTGCTTACACAGATCTGGGTCCCTAGGCTTGCACAGGCAGTGCTGGCTGCTTTTGCTGATGTGAAGCTTTACTCATTAGTGCAACACCTTGAAAATTCAGAAACAGCAAAGTTCGTGGTGAGTCACAGCCTTTAAAAATTATGCATGTTAATAAACACTGGTTTTGCATTGTAAATAAGAGCAAAATTATTTGTCACACCTTGAAGAATTACCACCTTTATTTAGGGGAACTTCTTTTAATGTGTTCATAATTATTTTCAGTTCTTCTGCCAACTCTGTTCCTGGTTTACATGGTATTCCTGTACCAGAACTCTAACAAACACCATGGAGACTATTCTTAGCATTTTTGCTCTTTCCTTCTATCCAATAAAAGGCTCCAAGATGGGGAACAGGTGAGAAACTTTCTCCTAACAGTACTGATAATTTTTTGTTTGGGATGACAACATCTAAGGCAACCAAAGCCCCCTCATTCATGTAGTATGTCTTATGGAAGTAGTACTCTAGTATTTCTTCTAAATATTTTTTAAGATTATGTTGTAGCTGGTATGTAAAATTAGCTATTTCCTTCTTTCCTTTTGCAAAGTGATTTTAAACTTTAAAACACTGGAATATATAGTAATTTGGGAAAAGATAACAAAAGCTTTTGGGGGTGAGATGTAGGTGAATTTGTGGTCACAATTTTCTTTACCACTTGCTATTTTTAAGTCGGTACCTCTAGTTAGTAACTCAATTGTTACAAAACAATTCTGGAGTTGCAGCTTTCTAAGCAAGAGAGAGTATCTGTACTCAGAGAGTTGAAGTTACCTGCAGTATGAAAAACTTGGTCAGAGACATGAGAGTTGTTGAAATGTCACTGACTGCAAAAGAATTGACCAGACCCTTTGATAAGCTGTTGGGTTTTTTATGTTTCTTCCTTTTAGCTGTAAGTATTTAGCTTTGGTTGCACTTGCAATTGTTATTCGTCCCACTGCTGTTATCCTGTGGATGCCTTTGGTCTTCAGCCATTTTTTGCAAGAACAGAGGAAAACAGATCTTATCCTATACAACTGCATTCCAGTTGGGTAAGTTCTTTCTCAATTTAAACTGTGCATAGCTACATCTTAAGATTGGTTTTGCCACTGCAAAGGCAGATAAGCCAAAAAAACCTGATATCATGTAAATATAAAAGAGAACAAATAGAGTCCTTTTGCAAAAGCTTAAGGATGGGGCATATTTCCTTTAAACTGTTGTATATGCTGCAGAAAAGCACCAGGCAAGATTTCATGATGGTGAGACATGAGCTATATTCCAGCTTAATTTGTGATTGTGTCAAGAATACCAGGTGATGTCAAGTGGCCACTGTAAAATGGCCATGAGTATGGATAATCTCAGAGATACTAGGAATCAGAGTTTTGACAGCTGGAGAAGATACAAAAGCAATTCAGGCAATATCAGTGCAACAAACTTTCCATTTTTGCAGATTGGTCACAGTAGGAACCTCTTTAATAATTGACCGTGTGTTTTTTGGTGAGGTAAGCTGTTTTAAACTTGACTTATAAGAAGAAGGTTGGGGTTTAGTATTTTAGCATTGATGGATATTTCAGATTTCTCTAGCTTCTCTTGCTTCTGTGACAGTGTCTGGCCTATGATCTCTAAATATATCCTAAGCCACAAATCCTTGAACACTGATTTCTCAAATCATACTATATAAAATCAGTATGCTCAGTCCTCAATAGTTCTCAAAAAACTACAAACTTACACACTTCCGTGATAATTGCTAAAAAAAAAAAGTCCGTGCTGAGTCTTAGTTAAAAAAAAAAAAAAAAAAAAAAAAAAAGCAGCCAACTGAAATAGGAGTGAAAATGTAATATATAGAACCAGTGATGACTGTGTAATTCAATGTAGCTGTTGGGTTTGACTTTGGATTTGTGTTTAACCCCCTCTGTTTCCCAGTGGGTACTGGTTCAGCTGAACTTCTTGAAATTCAACGTGATGCAGAATTTGGGAACATTTTATGGCTCTCACCCTTGGCACTGGTACTTCACTCAGGGACTCCCAGTTGTCTTGGGTCCCCATCTGCCATTCTTTATTCACGGCTGTGCACTGGCACCAAGGAGGTTCCATGTCCTTCTGCTGGCAGTGATCTGGACAGTGCTGGTGTACAGGTAATCTCTCCTGAGTGGAACTGCTGCCTCTCACTGGTTGTGTTCTTTGCAAAACTCCTGTCCTCTCCAGAACAAAGCAGCGTAGTATTCAGGTTAAGTGATAGAAAACTTGTTCAAACACTCCAATAAATGCAATCAGTTATAAAGCTGCTTCTAGAATTTTGTGCAAATACTACTTCTTGTGTTGCCACCAACATGAATCTTTAAAATTGATTAGACCTTTACAGAAGAAAATAATTCATCATGAAATTAAATTTTAAACATCCCAAAACCAACAATCACTCAGCAGGTGTTTAGACAAAAATAGAACTAGTTAGAAAACTGAGTACGCTAGATGCCTGTTAATGAAAACATCATTTCATTTGGTTCTTTAATACATCTCCAGTAAGATAAGAGATTCTTAGACTTCTAAAATGTACTCCATTCACAAGTTTATACACAGCTCTTAACTATCATAAGGCTGTATTCCTCACTGTAAGCTCAGAAGTATAAGAAAAGGTAAGATTCTTCTAAAGCATCAGAATTAACTGTAGATTAAACAGGAGAGACACTTTCAGACAAGAATAAAATACAGCAAGTAAATAAATACTAAGCAATAAATACTATCATAGTAATAGACTACAGTAAAACAGTAGCAAGACCAGAAATGCAATTTCTTTCCAACTCAAAACTAGAAATAGCTCTTGGCTTTAGGACTTTTTTACCTCCTTTAGTTTTGTAAGAAGCCCTTTGAGTCCCAAGACATGAGTGTTGCAGTAATCCCCAGAAAAGCCCAAAAAGTTGGCATGGGAAATTGTGTATTTTTGTATTAGCAGGGGTGAGTGTTAATTTGCTAGATACACATGGGTACTTGAATCTTAGCTTTTCATCCACACTATTTATTGTGTCTTATTACAGAAAACAGATTGGTGAAGTACTAAATTACATCTAGTTTTCAAAGAATCAGACCACTTAATTGTAGGAATTTTTACCAGTGCTTGGTTTAAACCAACCAAATAATAAGTACATTTGAATTAAATTATATTCTTTAGAAGTGACAATTTGGATTTTTACTCTTAAATGCTTCAATACCAAAAGCTTCTTAATACATCCACGTGCTCTTCCAATCCTCTGTGCTCTAAACCATTTTGTCAACAGAACTGAAGCATTTAACTTTCTTGCTGTACTACTGTATGTTTTATTACAGCACACTGAGCCATAAGGAATTCAGGTTCATCTATCCAGTACTGCCATTCTGCATGATATTTTGTGGTAAGCATTGGTTTCAAATGTCTTGCAACCTTACCTGGATATAATTTTTACCCATTTTTACCTTATTAGATCAAGGAGTCTTAGAATTAACCTAGCCCTTTCTTACAGCTAGTTAAAAAGAGAAAGAAAAAAGATGAGTGAGAGCAAGTGACTGTAGCACAGATAAAGAATCCTTAGCATGGCTAAAAGTATTCCTGCAAATCCTTACCGTTTTTTTGCTTTTTCCATTTTTTGGTTCTTTCAGGCAAGTTGGGGAAAGGGGCCGTTGTTTGAGGTTGGGGAAAAAAAATGAAGGAGTATGCTTTTCCAAGGCCAGAAGGCCAAAATTTAATAACAATAAAGGAATGCTGTAGTTTTCAGCATTTTGGAGAAAAAGAATACCACAGCCATACACATGTAGTTACCATTTATTCTGGCTCTATGTGGACTTGCATGAATCAGAATACATCAGTAAGTTGCCGTATATCATTCACCCAAACCATTGAAAGGACTGTTTTTCACTACAATAAATTAAAGAGACAAAGCACTGGTTTTGAAATTGTATTTCTGTATTTCAGGAGACAGGTGTGGGCTTAAGATTTACTCTGTTAAATCCAAGAATTAAAAGTGCAAAGCGTTTGAAATTCAAAGTGTTTGAATTTCCATTCAAGGGGTAAAGACTCCAAGAACAGTGTAGTAAAGTGTCTCAAAGCAAAGTATTGTTATTGACTGAGTAATGGTTTGCCACTGTATTAACGTACTTTCAAAAATGTGTGAATTGCTTATCTCCCAAACTTACTCAAATGTTTCTATAGGATATTCTTTGAAATATCTGAAAGCATGGAAGAAAACTACAGCAAGTTTCCTGCTGTTATCCAATTTAATCCCAGCTCTGTACACAGGCTTGGTTCACCAGCGAGGCACTCTGGATGTTATGAGTCACATCCAGCAGCTCTGCAATCACTCTCAGCAGTCACAAGCCTTTGTCTTCATCCTGATGCCATGTCACTCTACTCCATTTTACAGGTATTAGAAGTGTTAACAGTGCACTACATTAAAATCCAAACTCTTCACCAGAAATCAAGATTTCTTTTTTCCAAGGCTTAATTGAGATATATAAATGTATACAGGAAGAGTTTTGATTTTTCATACAGTTAATACAGAGTGAATAGGGGACATGAGCCAAATGCTTATACCACAGAATAAAATTCAGCATCTAAGCTTTACTCATTTTTGTGAAATAGCTTTGTATGAGGATATGCAGTAAGTCTAATTACTTCACTAAGTATGTCACACGTCTTCATTTTGGCAACATTTTTAGCAAAATTAAACACTAACTGTTATAATCAAAATTTATTAATTTTACTTCTAAAGTAGGCAGAAGTAAAATTTTACTAGGCAGTAAAGAACTGTCATTACAACAGTGACTTAGGTCATTGCAAAAGGTTTTCATAGATTTTGGGAAATAAACACAATGTTAAAGCAGATATAAATAGTGAAGCTGATATGGAAAAGTACCTTTTTAAGAAATAGGTGTTGTGCAAATGGTATTTTTATTAAGATAAATGTATTTTCTGTTAACTGCTAACAACACTCCCAGCAGTTTGGAGATGAGTCTGCTAGCTCTACATTGCTTTCATATGAAGTATTGAAAGGAAGAAAATACTACCCTGATGAAAGAAATTTAATTGATTTTTGTTTTGACTGAGGTGTCTTTTGAAGTGATGAGTCATTTCAAATCTCTGGTTCTGGTCAGTTTATCATGAAATGTGTTTTTGTTTTCCTCCGTAGTCATGTTCACTGTCCTCTAAAAATGAGATTCCTTCAGTGTCCCCCAGACCTAACTGGCAATGCGAGCTACGTTGATGAAGCAGATATGTTTTACTCTAACGCACTTGGCTGGCTGAATAAGGAGTTTTACAATGACACATTATTACCCAGTCACTTGATCCTCTTCAATGTGCTAGAAAAGGTATGGTAACAGCAAGATGAAACAAACTACTGAGGATAAGTTACAAAATAAATTAGGGAAGAGTTATAGTTAAAATTTTTGAAAATTGTTATTCACAACTTTTTAAAACATAGCTTATATTAAAATTGACCCCTCTAGCCCATAGTAAGATTATTGATATAATTCCACTGCTATATATTTACTGTTCATCTATTCCCTCTCCTCTGTGCAAATTCTACAGGCCACAAAGTATGGAATTCTTTATGGAATTCTTCATGGAATTCTTCTCAATCCATGTTAAAACAAATGTGCCATCTGTTCCCAGAAACTGCACTTTTAAGTAAGCAACAATGAAACTAAAAACACCTTTAGTCACAGTACCTTTTAACCCCTCAAATCTTTAATGAAGTCCATGCACTCAAAGAACGGTGGCTGGTGAATATCTGCTCCAGACAGGATCAAACAGGATGGGTGCTTCTTTTTCTAGCAGGCTTTCCTAAAATAAAGGATAAAGCTTCCCAGGGACAGTTGAACTGATAGTTGTCAAGAAACTTTGGAACACTATTCTTATGCTCTCAGCTGTGTTTTCTTACTGTGGAAATTAATGTATGTTCATTTGCAGGAAATATCATCATTTCTAGCTTTAAGGGACTATGAGAAAACAGCCACTGTCTTTCATACTCATGTACCTCAAGGACGAGTTGGAAGCCACATCTCCATCTACAGGAGAAAAACTGAAATGAATTTTCTCTGAAGATCAGTGGCTAGACCTCGGACCAGATCAGTTTTGCATAGCAGTAGCTATGCTTACTCCTCATGGTGCAAAAGGAGAAAGCAGGGAGTCGGAAACTGGGAAAGTCAATGGGAGGTCCCATGAGGCAGCCATGGCTGCCTGCAAACACAAAAACCTCCTGAAGGCAGCTTCAGTAGCAGTAGGGCAGGGTGGGGTTGCTGACCTACCTTACAACACTAGAAAGCATTGGGAAGACCAAAATTACCATATGAATACTTAAGCAACAAAATACAGACAAGACTGGACTGTTTCTATAGAACTGTATAACTATGCTGAATTTCTTTTATAAATAAAGACGTTTACCCACAATGTCTCTTTTATTTTTCTTCTACAATATGCAGATATGCAAGACATTTCAAGTGTTTAAATCAGCACGCTGATTAGAATGCAGCACAGCAAATTCTTCACAATTCAACAGGCTCTTGAACCCCCCCAAAGACAGGAAGCAAATATAAGGTTACAAAACACTAACAAATACATTACCACAATGTTGATCTATTTTTTGAAGCATGAGATGAAGTTAGTATATCAAACATTGGAGTTAGTAGTTGGTACATTATGCATGGCTCAAGCTTTAACTACACTAATGGAATGCAATTAAGCTTTTTTTTCATACACAGGTCATGGCATGCCTAGTTTCTGCAACAATACTGCTGGCACCCAAACTATCTTTACTTTGAAAGAACAGTTAAAGCAACGGTACAGAATATGCAAATCAGAAAGCCTGACTTCTGCCTGTTAACAAAAATGTGTAAAAATCAAATTATTCAGAAAAAAAACACTTGCATTTTGCTGCTTTGTTGAAAAACAATTAGTTTCCAGAGAGCATGTGAATTTTAATCTTAATTTTTACAATAAATTACTCAGTATTTTGGATCGAAGGGCAGTTGCCCCAATTCTATTTCAAGATTTGCCATGTGTCTTCCATTAGTGCGACCATGTTTATACCATTTACCTTCTCTTTTATTACGGTGTTGGTACTTCTGAGCTTGTTTTTCATGTCTGGAATTTTCAGTTTGTGTATAAGGTCTTTTAGGTCGACTGCAAGGAGTAAACAAAACCTTATTACTACTAAAAGCATTTTGTAACACAATTACATTTTCAAGTACAGCTTTTAACATGCTGAAGTTCATTGGAAATAAAATTAGTAGTAACTAGTCCTTTAGCTTGTAAGAAAAATGGGGGAGGGATTTGTTTAAATCATCAATAAGATGGTATATATAAAGAAATGCTTTCTGAAAATAAAAATGCAGCTGGTATCACAAGCTTCTGGATAACAGTATCAATAAAAGAATTTGGAATTGTTTTGCTGCAAACTGAAATTCTCACAAATTAGGTATTTAATTTAAAAATAAAGTTCATTTGATAATAAATTAATAAGATGGACTATAAATAAAATCATAAACCTTACGTATTTGCCAAAACCACATTAACTGGGTAGCTGATAATGGGACTATCACCTTTATGGTTCAGCTTTCAATAGAAAAAAGTGGTACTTCACGCAATACTTAGTAACCCTAAAGCAGTTAATTGTTCAGACTTGCAGCTGCAGTAAAGTACATGAAATTATAAATAATACAAGTGTAAAGTTGTAAAGCCCTGAGAACACCTTTAGATCCAGGAAAGGAATGCAGGAAACAATTAACACCAAGGACCATCGTGAGCAAGTCTGAACAAAACTCAAGTCATGGTCAGGATCTAACTAAAGCCTGCTGTGTGATGAGCTCTGCTCTGGGCATACAGACTAACCCAGTATTACCTAATCTACAGGAGAATAGTGAAATGTATCTGCCAGAACAGGACTCAGAGACACCTCAAATATACTCAAAAACTTCTTTCAGCAAACGACAAAAAGGAAGCCCCAGTTAATGCTCCAAGACAGTTCCTCATTCGATCAGATGGTCAATCAGAGCTGTTTGGTCTCAAGAAATCCTACTGGCAGTTACAATTTTCTAAAGAACCCAGTAGAAACATCAGATTGTGCTATGCACACACACAGAATTTATATAAAGGTTCTACAGATCCACTTTATATAACATAATCTAATATTTCCACTAAGTTCTTCAGGAAGTCTTCTAGCATATGTGTGTGTGTATATGTATACATACATACACATACCTGCTCAAAGACCATCCATCTCAACAAGGACATTGGTTGTCTTTACAAAAAACACTTCTTTGTGTTATCAAGTTCAGGAAACATGGAAACAAACCTGGGTCCATACTGGGGTGAGTTATCATAGTGGAAGTAGTATCTGTAGACGTATTTGTCCAAATCCTCAAAAACCTTCTCATTATTACTTTGGTATTCCTTCATATCTTCCAGGTAATCCTTGACATCATTAACAAAATCAGTGAACAGCATCTGGTCATGTATAAACAATCCATTATGAAAAAACTTATTGATGAAATTTTCTAGTTCTCTCCAGTGATGAAAGTTATGAACAACTTGCTGCAAATACTTTCTCATTAGCCGATTAAATTCATCCACCCTGATGGGATCTGAAACTCTGTTGAAGAGACTAATGAATTCCTGATGAGCACATTCAAAAATCCCAGAGCAGCCCTTCAGGGCAAACTGATGTTTTCTATTACACAAATGATCATTGAGACATTTCTGGGAATCTGAATCTTTTTCAAATGTTGTAAAATGATGTTTCCTTCCATTTCTGGATTCTTTTGGCATGTGAGGTCCCCTGTAATGCATGTGCTTCAGATTCTCGTAGGAGTTATGGTCTCGGTAAAAAGTTCGAGCTTTCTTGTTTGCCTCATATCTTTTATCACTTGATGACTTCTCTTTTTCATCAAAGATGTTTTTTGTGGTATCTTTGAAGTGCCTGAATGTAGATTTTACAGAATCAGAGAATTTTTTCAAGTTTTCTTTCACTGCTTCTTTAGCCTGCTTAATCTTTTCTTTATGGTGTCTTACAAACTCTTTTGTGGAATTTTTCATAGCATCAAAAGTTTCTTTAACTGAACCAAAAAATGTCTCCTTTGATTTCTTTCTACTCTTACTTTGCCCTTTAGCACCTTTCTTTTGTCCATTTTCATTAATTTCTTGTTTTTCAGATTGGTCTTTTGCTTCAACATACAGCTTCTCCCATAAGTCTGAGCGTTGCTGCTCAAAGTTTAGCTTTTTTTCTAGTTCTGCCAGTCTTCCTCGCAGAGTTTCTATTTCTTGATTTTCTCTTAATGTCTCATCATCATCATCATCATCAGTGCTGTCAGGTGTTTGACGAGAACTTAACTGTTCTAGTTCTTTTTTCAGAGCTTCTGTAACATGACGTTCTTTGTCCAGTTCTCGCCTTAGCATCTGTGCCTCTGCAAAGAGTGTTTCCTTTTGCCTGAGAAAATTGCTGTTCCTTTGCTTTTCTTCTTCCAAATGCTCCCTTAGTTTCTGATTTTCTATTACAATAGATTCAGTGCTACTACCTTTATCTTCTAAGTTCCTAATTTGTTGTCTTAGCTTCCTTAATTCTTCCTGAAGTGAGGCCAAAGCTTTTTCTTCTTTCTCTAGAGATTCTCTTAGGTGCTGATTTTCTGCAGCAAGACTTTTTTTTTGAGAATCAAAGGATTTCTTCTCCACCTCAGTAAAGGTCAAACATGTGGCAAGATCTCCCTTGAGTGACTAAAAGAAACAAAAAGAAAACAAGCAGAAATACTACAATGAGAATTGTTACAATTTTAGCTAGAAAGATGAAAAACCAAGGCAGCCCAAACAGAGCTTACTTGTCATTTTGGATGCAGTGAAACATGCACAGCAAGATGCAAAAATAGAGCTAGTTTGTTTATCTCAGTTGGGTTTGTTTATCACACACTTTCTTGGCAACAAAGACCATGTGAGAAACTCTCCCAGCCAGCCAGAGGTCATCACTCCTCACTTGTATTGATTTAACAAGCTAAAGGATAGTCAGTTGGGTACATGAAGTCTAACATCTTAAAAGGAAATCAAAATGTGTATCTTTGTTGTTGATTTATGTTCAGCAAGCTGGATTTACAGATTACAAAAAAAAAATTAGCAGAAGCAAAGACATTTAGTGGGGCAGAAACTCACAAAGTGATTTTCAACCTAATCTGAAAGTACCTGTTTGTGTAACTATATACCAAAACAAAAGGAGCTGCCCGGTCTGTTGGCATCATTGACAAGCTCTAGAACTTACTGAATTACATACAAATGCTGCTAACAGACACATAAAAGAAAACCTAAAAAAAATATACTCCCTAATCTTCTCTCCAGATGATGCAACAGTAAAAAACAAGGAGTACAGCTTATGTATTTAAAAAGTTAATAACCATTGATAATTTAGAAAGCAAATTGACAAAACCTGTAGGTTCAACATGTTTTAACAAGCATTTTCTACTTCAGCTGTCCTCATTAATGACAACCTGGCACTGTATCACAGGGCAACAGAGTCTCTGTGTTCAGCTAACTCCTAGAATACAGACATAAAACCCAGTATGTTTAAACACATTCCAGAGCAAATTCAATCAACATGAACATTTGTCAAGAATTCAGGGGAAAGTTCTCTGAAAGCACTTACTAAAGACAAAAATTTAATGGATTTGTGTGAGAAATTCGTTTCACTTTGTGCAAAATACACACATGATGACAGAATTATGCAATGACTTCCAGCTAAGCCCACACCTACCCCCACTTTGTGGTGCACTTGATCTCCTTGCTCTTGTTGGCACTGGTAAAGGTCATCTTTCATATCTTTTACTTCACGTGTCTTTGTCACCAGCTGCTGCCGTTTCTGGACTTGCACTGTACCTACAAAGATAAAAAACGTTTATTTTGATAGACTGACTTAGAGTAAGCAGAGGAACAGAGGAACCTAAACATCGTCTTCATTCTCTTTGAAATCTCAAAAGTATTCTTAACTTGCCATTTCAGCCCTGTCCTTACCAGTAACTGTTTACCTGTAACAAAATTGTTTTTTTCAATGATAAACCATTTCTCAGACCCAAAATTTTGCTTCTACACTGTTTTTTCATTAATAAAAAATAAAGGAATTTTGGAAAACTACACAGAAATAAGTTAGAGCCAAACCAACAAGTTATGCAGGAAAGAATATTTGTGATTTCTCTGTAAGTTTTTTAGTAACAGGCAAGTAAAACAGGATAAAATGGAAACTACTGGTCCATGCATTATCCACTTCAGAACTACAACCTTGAGTATTAATTGATTTACATGATTAAGAGAGGATTAGCACAGTGTTTAAATTTTCATACAGAAATACAATTATTACACACTGCTCACAAAGCAGCAAGTATTGCAGGCCCTGTCATGTCCTTCTTATCCATAAGCAA